GAACAAAGATTTATTATAAAGTCACTTTAATGTTCAAGAAACCAAACTCCCTTGGATGTTGTCCATGAAAGACTATCAATTTCCAACTTCCATTCTGCAGCAAAGAGTAATCGTAAACAGAATACAAGTGCAACTCTGAACACTCAAGGGCTGAGGAAAGGCACAGTTTCCAGGTTGAGAAAACTATCAAAATAGTTACTCTCTAAAATGCCTGAACACTTCCCTGCCTCCTTCAGTGAAGTGTAACAAATATAACTTAACCTTTTCTTAATGATAGAGGACATTTAAAAAGAACAATAGACTTGAAATTAGGAGGACTAAGGTTTGACTAATTGGGTGAAAATATATTGGGGGATTGATCTTAGTTAATTCACTGCAACTCCCTGGCCATGTCATCTTTCAAATGGGATCGCAACATTCCCCAGAGCTGATTTAAAGATCAAGTTAAACAGCACACATAAAGTAGCTAGTGCTGTCCTCTGGCTCTTTTAGAAGGTGCTGTGTGAAATGTCAGCCACCTTCCTGCCCCTAGGTACACGTGTGACAGATGAGTTACTGCTGTGTGCCTCAGGCTCATCACTCTTCTGCAGATGTCCAGTCAAGAATGGGTCTCTGGTGTCTGCACAAAATAAATGCAACCCCAGGTCTGGCCCTGGGTCTTTCTTTTCTTTCTTTCTTTTTTTGTAAGGCACTTACACCAGGTACCCATATATTTTCATCTCAATTGGCTTTCTCCTTCTCATAAAAGTGGACTTTGAGCATCTGAGGCATATGACTCCTGGTCAATGGGATGTGGCTGCCCTTCTACAAACTTCTTCCCTGTTTCTGAGTAGTTTTCTTGCCCTTCCAAAAGTGAGCTCCCCTTCCCCTATCTTCAGTTCACATTTCATAAATCCTTTGTGCCACAGGCATCATCATATATATATTAAAATAGCCATTCTGAAGGAAACCACAAAGTAATCAAGGCAAACAATGAGGCAGCCACTTATCTTTGAATGTGTATTTTAACTAAGCCTTCACAGCAATTTTTGTGTTCTTGAGTTTACTAAAAATTTGGACATGCTTTACAGTTTATGGCCTCTAAGCTTAAAAGCTTTAGTTCTTAATGCTGCTGAGTACAAATACTATTATTTACTATTTCATCTCCATTGCACACCTGCGAAGTATGATCTATGGATTTTCAGTCTCTAGAGATGGTCAAATGCAGGTGCAACTATAATTCAGGTAAAGAGAAAAATTCACACAGACACAATTTAGAGCTGGTATCTTTCTTTACATCTGTAAACAAAAAAAAAACCCTGTATATTATTTATTCATCTCACTAGGAATATTTTTTAGCAACTCTGTGAATGATAACTGCCTGCCTGAATTTCCTAAAGCTTGAAATTTGGCTGGGCTAACCCTGAATTTGTGATCCATCACCTTTCTTTCCCTCTTTGTACCTCCTACTTGATGGATGATTTTTTTTGTCCTTTCTAACTACTGTTTTTATTACATCTGCCAGAGTTGCCTCAATTATTCTATGAAACATATCTCAAACTCTGCCAACTCCAGAAAAGAGAATTGACAATATCATATATTTTAATAAGCCTATAAAGAAAATTTAGTGGAAAATGGAAACTACAAAGATAATAAAAAAGATTAATGAAACTAAGAGTTGGTTTTTTGAAAAGATAAACAAAATAGACAAAATTTAACCAGACTAAAAAAATGGAGAAGACAAATAAAATCAGAAAGGAAAGAAGAGGTATTATAACTGATATCACGGAAATACCAAGGATCATAAGAGACTACTGTAAATAATTATATACTAACAAATTGGATAACCTAGAAGAAATGGATAAATTCCCAGAAATATACATCCTACCAAGACTGAATCAAAAAGAAATAAAAAAAAAATATGAACAAACAGCAAGTAAAGCAATTGAATCAATAATTTAAAAATCTCCCATCAAAGAAAAGCCCAGGACCTGATGGCTTCACAGCAGAATTCTACCAATACCAATCTCTTGGGAAAAAACTGAGGAAGAAGGAATGCCTTCAAATTCATTTTACAAGGCCAGCATTAGGCTGATACCAAAGCCAGACAAGAACACTACAAAAAAGAAAAATTGCAGGCCAATATTTCTGACGAACACAGATGTAAAAACACTCAACAAAATACTAGCAAACTCAACAAAATACTAGCAAACTGAATTCAATAGCATATTAAAAGAATCATTTACCATGATCAAGTGACATTTATCTCTGGGATGCAAAGATGGTTCAACACATGCAAATCAATAGATGTGATGCACCATATTAACAGGATGAAGAACAAAAACCATATGATCGTCTCAATAGACGCAGAAAAAGCATTTGACAAAATTTAACATCCTTTTGTGTTAAAGACTCTCAACAAATTAGGCACAGAAGGATTGTACCTCAAAACAATAAAGGCCATATATGAAAACTCACAATTGACATTATACTTGGTGAAAAGTTGAAACCTCTTCCTCTAAGATTAGAAACAAGACAAGGATGCTCATTCACTCTGACTACTTCTATTCAACACAGTACTGGAAATTCTAGCCAGAAGAATTAGACAAGAAAAAAAAATAAAATAAAAGGCATCCTAGATCTCTAATAGCCAAAGCAATTTTGTGCAAAAAGGACAAAGCTGGAGACAAGAAGAAGAAGCAAGAAAACAAGTAACTCAATCACCATATTGGCAAAGGACCTAATAGACTTTTCTCAAAAGAAGACACATATATGGCCAACAGATATATGAAAAAATGTTCATCATGATTAATCATCAGGGAAAGGCTAATTAAAACCACAATGAAATATCACCTCATGCCTATCACAATGGCTATGAAGAAAAAGACATAAGATAGCAAGTATTGACAAGTGTGTGGAGAAAAAATGAACCCTTGTGAACTGTTGGTGGGAATGTAAATTAATACAGCCCTTATGAAAACAGTATGGAGGTTCCTCAGAAAACTAAAAATAGAATTACCATATGAACTATAGTAATCCCACTTCTGGGTATGTATCCAAAGGAATTAAAATCAGTATATGCTGTAGAAATATCTATCTGCACTCCCATGTTCATTGCAGCATTATTCATAATAGCTAAGATACAGAAGCACCCTTGGTGTCCATCATCAGATGAATGGACAAAGAACATGTGGTATATATACCCAATGGAAGACTATTTAGCTTTAAAAAAGGGAGAAATCCTGTCATTTGGGACAACATGGATGAACCTTGAGGACATTATGCTAAGTGAAATAGACCAGGCACAGAAAGATAAATACCTCATGATCTCACTTATATGTGGAATCTAAAAACAGTTGAACTCATAGAAGTGTAGAATACAATGGTGGTTACCAGACACTGTGTGGAGGGGGATTGTTTTAATCCATTTAGTGTTGCTATAAACGAGTACCTGAGGCTGGGTAATTTACAGAGAAAAGAGGTTTATTTGGCTCACAGTTCTGTAGGCTATACAAGAAGAATGTCACCAGCATCTGCTTCCAGTGAGGGCTGCTTCTACTCATGGTGTAAGGGGAAGGGGATTTGGTATGTGTGGAAATCACATGGTGAGATAGGAAGCAAGGAGAGAGGGGTGCTAGGTTCTTTTTAACAACCAGCTGTCATGGGAACTAGTAGTGAGAACTCTCTCACTCCCCTGACTCCCCAGGGAGTGCATTAATCTATTCAGGAGGGATCCAACCCCAGGACTCAAACACCTCCCATTAGGCCCCACCTCCAACATTGGGGATCAAATTTCAATATGAAATTTGGAGGGGACAAACATTCAAACTATAGCAGAGGAACAGAGGTAGGTGTGGAAAGGGGAGATGTTGATCAAAGGGAAGAAAGTTCTAGTTAGACAGGAGGAATAAGCTTTAGTAATCTATTGTACAGAATAGTGACTATAATAAATAATAATACATTGTATATTTCAAAATTGCTAGGAGTAGATTTTAAATGTTTTCACCACTAAAACATGATAGGTATGTGGGATGATGGATTTCTCACTTAGCCTGATTTAATCATTCTACATTGCAAACATATATCAAAACATCACATTTACCCCATAAATATATACAATTATTATTTGTCCATTAAAAATAAAATCAAAAAAAGAAGAAAAATTAATGGAAAGGTGACCTCCCACCCATTATTCAAGACCCAAATACCACCTTCTCTGTAAAATTTTATACCAGTGGCCCCATTTGACCACATCCTTCTTCTCCCACTGTGATTTACATTCTCCTTCTATTATGACTCCCGTCCCAGTGAGGACACATAATTATTTATATGTGCTTCTCTCCCCGACCAGGATGTGAACCTACCAAGAGAAGAGGCCCTTATTTTAGCATAGAAAATACTGAATTCAAGTTGGATGTAATGGAAGGACAAAATTTTATAAAGACTATATACATCCAGTCTGTGTCTGAATTGATTTATTTGAGTAGTTCTCAAATGTAAATGGATGTACTCTGATATCCTGTAAATCCTATAACAATTTTAGTCATGATCATATTAGGATTTAAAATCATCACATCTAATCTAAATCCCTTATATTCTGACCCTGAGATATATGGAAGACAGGGTGCCAAGATGCTGGACATAGATTTTTGGAGCTTTAAATATTTTTTGTCTTAAGACAATAAAGCCATGACTGAGTCACTGAGCTCCAGTAATAACAATGACAATCTAAGTTACCTTGCGAACTCTTTCCCTTATGATAGTTATTTAAGATATTTTCAAAATTTTACCAGCGAGCACTGAGTTAAGATTAAAATACTATGTTTGCTGGATCATATTAAAAATTAAATTGTTTTACTTATCTTTCTATAACATTAGTTATAAAATTAAGTAGATGTGAAACTTTTTTAACATCAAAATGAATAATAAAAATATAACTAAATCTCATACCTCAAGGATAATTTCCTCTGATTAGGTACAATTAAAATGTTAACACTCTCAGATCACATTTGGTACCATACCTGTCCTGTGTATGCAAACTCCAGAGCCTGCTTTAAGCCAAGGCTGGTCACCCCATGCAAATTCACCTCATCGGCTCCACTTTCCACCATACAAAGACTGAACATTGCCTGAGCCGGGGGAAAGAAAGAAAGAGAAAGAATTATGGGTCTTAGAGCGCAAGGGAGCAAGACAATATCCTAGAGAGTCTAAGAAAGGAAAAGTTTTACCAATTAAAATTGTTTTTGATTTTGAAATGCTTCTACAAAGCTTCATCCACACAAGCCACTGCAAATCACTTTGATGTCTAAACAGTTATAGTAACAACATACACAGTACCTCATTCCTTATAGTACCTCATTCCTTACACACAGAGTCTCATTTGAGGTGACTGTGTTTAGGCTCATTGAATTCATTCTCTTAATTCTGGGTTCTCACTGATATCAAGTAATAAGCAACAATCCGAACATTCTGGCCAATAGGATATGGAAAGTGGCACCTTCATCTCCTGACTTCTCTGCCTTTTTTCCTGCCTCATTCCAATGACACATCTTGTTCCTCTCATCTGCCATGTATCACACACTCCATTCCAGTCCTCAAAGCATGGTCCCTGAGCCAGCAACATTAGCATCACCTGGAAACATGATTAAGTATAGATTCTCAGGGCCTCACTGCAGACCTACTGAACCCAAAACTCAGAGTGGGGCCAGTGATCGGTGTTGTAACACGCCCTTCAGGTAACTCTGATGCTCACCTGAATTTGAGAACCACTAAGTTATTCAGTACAAATCAATTTGCCCCCAACCAATTCTTCAAATGGCCAACTTATTGAAAATCAGTTCTCCCATGAATGATCAGTATGTCAAATGAAAAGACATACAAATGGCCAACAGGTATATGAAAAAGTGCTCAACATTACTAATCATCATGGAAAAACAGATCAAAACCACAATGAGGTATCACTTCACACCTGTTAGGATGGCTATTATCAAAAAGACAAGTGTTGGTGAGGCTGTAGAGAAAAGGGAATCTTCATTCACTGTTGGTGAGAATGTAAACTGGCATAGCCATTATGGGAAACAGTACAGAGGTGCCTCAAAAAATTAAAAACAAGCTATGCATGGTAGAATGCACCTGTAATCCCAGCTACTCAGGAGGCTGAGGTGGGAGAATTGCTTGAACCCAGGAGTTCGATACCAGCCTGGGCAACAACAATGCGACATCCCATCTTAAGAAAAAATTAAAAATAGAACTACCTTATGACCCAGCAATGTCACTGTGGGGTATACATGCAAAGGAAATGAAATCAGTATCTCAAAGAGTTATCCGCACTCCATGTTCACTGCAGCATTATCCACAACAGCCAAGATATGGAAACAACCTAAATGTCCACTGATGGATGAATGGCTTTAAAAAATGGGAGACACACACACCCAGTTGAATATTATTCAGCCTTAAAAAGGAAAGAAATCCTGCCATTTGCAACAACACGGATGAACATGAAGGGCATTATGCTAAGTGAAATAAACCAGACATATAAAGATAAATATTGAGTGATCTCACTTCCGTAGGCACACCATGGAGATACTGCGGGTTTGGTTCCAGACCACCATAATAAAGTGAATATCACGATAAAGTGAGTCACAGAAATTTGTCGGTTTCCCAGTGCACATAAAAGTTATGTTTACACTATACTATAGTCTATTAGGTGTACATACAAAGTGAACAATGCCTGACATACGGCAAACGCTTAGTCAAATTTATATTTTGTGATAACAATGAAATGGAATGAAGTTTCTTTTATGTATTCCCTCATTAAAAGGATTGATATATTAGAAGTATCAGTTTCTGGCTTTTTTTTCTAAATCAAGTGTGGCTATAGATAAAAAATGCTACAGGAAATTGACTTTAGAGTTAAAGGGATTCTGTTTATGCATTTGTAGAAGATGGCCTGGAAACTCCAAAATAAAAAAACACAAGTCACAGTAAAAATAAACAATAAAAATAATTTGTGTAATTCTGAATTTTTTCCTAGATTTCTTACAACTACTTTGAAAAGAACCTGAAAAAATTTTTAATTGTTTTCAATGTCTTTTTATTATATGGGTGGTTAAGTTTTTAATATTCTCCACATCGAGTTCTTTTTTCAGATCTTCCAAGTTGCAGCTGTACTTGTGGTGACCAGTTGTTCCCCAACAGCCTACACACAGAGCAGGACCAAAATGATTCAAACCGCAGAAGAATGATTTGGGTTAATGAAACAGAAAAATTTCCTGAGAACAAAGGTTAAAAAATCAAAACAGGCTGCCAATGGAGTTTTTAAAATCTGCTTTTCTAGGGTCTTTCAAAAGTAATCAGGGTAACAGTGGCATAGAACAGGGATCCTCAACCAGTGGCTTGTGAGCCAATGAACTTGTAGCCTGGCTTAGTAGAGTTGGGGAGAAAACACAATTCCTTAAATAATGTACATCTGTATTTGCACACATCTGTATAAGCAATAAAGGGACACCAAATTGGTAATTGTTTTATACCAATATAATCAAATAAATTATCTATAATTGTTATATTGTAGGGTTTGATTGTAGAAGGAAAGAAGGAACTTAATTTTATCTCATTTACGTAAGTATTATTTGGATCATTACAATGAACATGTGAACAACTGTCTTTTTTTTTTTTGAGACAGAGTCTCACTGTGTTGCCCAGGCTAGAGTGCCATGGCATCATCCTAGCTCACAGCAACCTCAAACTCCTGGGCTCAAGCAATCCTTCTGCCTCAGCCTCCCAAGTAGCTGGGACTACAGGCATGT